TCACTGTATGTGTTGGCTTTGTGCTTGGTAGTAAATATGTGCAATTTGTATCATTTGCTCACTTCTGTGCAGCATAAGCATTAGTACATTTGAGGTTGACCCCCACTCAATTCACTATGAATAGCACATAATGAAACCCACCAATATACACCCCTGTTATAAAGTTAGCAAGAATTGTCCGACCACATTGCATAACGCATTACACATGTTTGGAGTTTTTCAATCGATAATCATAAATTATGTGTGATATTGTGAAAGTCTCTATGTAATGCTAGCTAGTCCCAACTTTTCACGTTGTAGCAAGATTCTGGCACTGTGTGAAAATTATACGAATATATACACTCAAAGTGCACATGACACGAAATTTATCTGCTTAATTTTTATGCATCACTTGAAAGGACCTTGAAATTGACCAAGAAAAGCGTAAACAATGTATTCACAGCTCATCTCATTTCCAGGATATTGAGCATATTTTATTGAGCAATTGAGCATGTTTGTATTTTGTGTTATGGGCATACTGATTGTGTCGGTTAAGATATCAGCAAATAAATAAAGTCTAATATCTTAGAAGTGATTAAGAGAAATTAAATTAAACTTCGTACAGTTACTAAGTGCACATATAAGCAAGCATTTTGAAATGTACACATGGTTGCAATAACAACACACTTGTTACCTTTGTGGTTTTGATTTACTATATTATCATTTTTTTGTGCTGTGGTAAAAATACACTATTGAAGTAAATGAAACTTTGTTCGGAACAGTATACAGCAGACATTATTTAAAAAAGGCAAGAGACCTTGGTAATCAGTGTGTTGCTATGACAAACATAAATCTTCCAAAACGTTTGCCTAATTGCACTAAGTAACGGTACCATTGAATCGCTTTTGAAACATTAGACAAACTTCTTTTTGCTATCATCTTAAAGCACAACTGGTGACGTACAATTACACAAAATACTTGATAACTTAGAAACGAGATAAGCTGTGAATAAACTGTAAATGCTAGTCTTCATTATTTTCAAGATCCTTTCAAGAGATATTGATGCATACGAATTGGGGAGAAAATTTCGTATATGTGCACTAAAACACTAAATCTAATGCATACAACAAAAGCAAATGAAAGCTACAGTTCTATATGGTATGTCATACAACAAAACCCCTGCAATTAACAACCCAAAAATTACAAACAAATGCGCATGGCATTCACATAAAAACTTAACAAAAATAACAATATTCAAAATGTCAAGAATCATTGACACATATTAACTTAAAAACTTTTGTTCCAACTTATGCTGTCTTTGAGATTATGCTCATGAATAGACTGTTTTAAAATAACTCAACATGGTAATGAGAAACTACATTTCTGAGAAATGTTCAGTGTGATCTTATTCGATTTGTTAATCAATATGGTCTTTTAAGTCCAATAAACTTGGATCACCAATGTACGTATTACATCGCATCTGTTGAAAGTACTCATAGTTTTTGGAAAGTATCAGGATGTGGAAACATGTTCTCGCCATTGGTCATAGTGCAGCTGGTGGCATTACATTGAACTTGAGGGCAATTGTTGCACCAGGAACTATACAACATCTGTTCCTGAACAGAATCTCATGAAATTGGACAGGATAACATCCGTCGATGGTTTGAGATACCTGGTTAACCATCATAACACTTGCGCTTCTTTCGTATCTGAAGGGCTGCATTTTAAACTGGATATAATTTGTCGCAGTGTTGGTTGGCATAAATCATACCTGGATTGAACTTCTTCTTCAGAGACATAATCCCAGAATGAAGCCATCCCTTTACGAATATTGAGTAAGCACATGTATGACTTTGTAACCAATTTATTCTGTGCAACCTGCAACACAATAGTATGCATGTTGTTTTGGGACGGCATATCACAAATAGTGTAATCTTCAAGCACTTTGAGAACGTCTTCCCCTGGAAACGGCCCTTCGCCAAAGAGGGCATTTTCTCTCCTGAAGCGGCAGAAGGCATAAAAACGATGAAAATAGACATTCATCAGATGCATGACCAAATCTTGCCTGCTGGATTGATGCTTGCTTTATTTGCACAGGGAATGTACTGAACTGTATGAACTGATGTGTTAAAATTTTACCAAGGTTGACATAATTATCTGTGCCCTTACGAAAATGTTCTATAGAATATTACATTGAAATATTCTATGAAATATTCTAAAGGATTTTGGAACCTATTCTATGGCATATTCTATGGGATAGTTTATGGGATATTCTAATGGGTATTCATTTGAATTCTATAGAATATTCTATGAAATATTCTAAAGGATTTTGGAACCTATTCTATGGGATATTCTATGCAATATTCTATTGGACATTCAGTTGAATTCTATACAATATTCTATAGAATGCTCTATAAAAAATTCTATAGAAAGTTCTATGGAATATTATATGGAATATTCTACTGAATATTCTATGGCACATTCAGTTGAATTCTATACAATATTCTATAGAAGGTATGGAATATTCTATATAACATTCTGTATTAGATTCTTTAAGATTTATAAAAGTTTGTATTATGAAACATTTATTAAAACACAATTATCATTGTATAAAGAACTTGTTTAATTATTAACTAAACATTAGTGAAACAGCTAGTTAACCAATCAGAATTATATGTTTATAGCTACCATTGAACTACAGTAGGAAATGGGTATTTGAAAAGTAGTCAGCAGCTGCAAGATACAACTGCCTCATGCCTGGAAACAATTATAGCAATTTTATTTGGTGGAGAATATCACTTACATAAACTTTGCAGCAAAGATTTCAATGTGCCTGGATTTCAATATTAAGTATGTATAAACAGATGTAAATATCCAGGCTTAAATTAAAATTAAGTGCTGCCAACAGAACCAATGTACGTGGCATA